TATATATAAATTATTTATTACTTACTTACTTTTTCTACTTTTTCTTTACGTGCCTGCAATTCGATTAAAGGTAGAACTATCGATCGTGAAACAACTAATCAATAAATAATTCATAATTTCTCTATATATATAAATTATTTATTACTTACTTATTAAGATTACTTTTTCTTTACGTGCCTGCAATTCGATTAAAGGTAGAACTATCGATCGTGAAACAACTAATCAATAAATAATTCATAATTTATGTTTTTTCTCTATAAGACAATTTTAAACAAAATTTATTATCAATGTAAAACAAAGTTTTATTGAATAATCTTTTTTTTTAAACTTGATGTGTACATAATATTTGCTAAATAAATTATCAAACGCAATCATATGTCATAACATTTAACAAACACATATTACATTTTTTTATCTACATCAACGTCTCTAACATTTAAAAGATAACTACATTAACATGTTATTTTAAAGTTAATTAATCACAATCTATAGATATATTCCATTCATAACATCTATAATTTGGAAGAAATTTCTGGCTATAAATTATATATATCTATAAATTTTGTATTGTTTGTGAGAAAGATATAATATATATTATAATTATATGTAATTTTAATTATAATTATAATAAATATAATTATAATTAATAATTTTTTTATTTCACAGTTAGTTTTTTAGCCATTGCTTTCAAATCTTTTCTCGCAATTTTTCCTGAACCTGTATATGGAAAAGTGTCCAAAAATATCACGCCAGCACGAAGCTTGTATTGATCCATCATGTTATTCGCCACAAAATCTATTAATTCTTGCTTCGTCACCTACACAGATGTAATTTGATTATTGTAACATAATATATTTTTTATTTTATGAAATATCTTAGATTTTGTATTAAAAAATTATCATGAAAATAATTGTATTGTCTCGACATATATTGACTAATGTTTAAAATAATCTGCATATTAATTCGAAATTTATCAGAAAAAAGGAAACAGAAGTATTTAAGTTCTATAATCAAAAAATCGAAAAAAAATCTTGACAATGGGATTTCTATATATTAAAAATTTCATTATAAATGTTTTTAAGAAAAAGTGTTGGGACATCTAAAATTTTTTTCACTTTGTAATTTATAATCTCCCGTTTCACAAACTCTTGCTCTTGCGTGATTTCCTCATATTCGCAACAAAATTATACCTTGACGTCGGGTTTTTTAGTGATATAAGCAATAGGATGCTCATCATCTGTTTCATGAGGTACTGCTACTACTGCAGCTTCCAGCACTGCCGGATGTGATAGTAACACATCTTCAATTTCTCCGGGTGAGATTTGGCATCCTCTATACTTTATAAGCTCTTTAATCCTATCAATAATAAACAATTCCCCGTCTTCATCAAAATAACCAATGTCACCTGAATGCAGCCATCCTGAGAGAAATTTAGTTCTTACGGTATTAATACTAGATATTTTGTTAAAGACAAAAAGAAAGAAAGAGAGGGATGTTTAATAAAATTCAATATATTTGTAGTTTATTTAAATTAATTATTATAAATAACATTTGTTTCATTTAATTTAATTTTTTTGTATTATTAATGTGTTATAAAAATAAAACATTTTTTATCTTTTCCATTTTTTTACCTTCTTTATCAATTGTATTTTTTGTCGTATATATAAATTATTTATTACTTACTTATTAAGATTACTTTTTCTTTACGTGCCTGCAATTCGATTAAAGGTAGAACTATCGATCGTGAAACAACTAATCAATAAATAATTCATAATTTATGTTTTTTCTCTATAAGACAATTTTAAACAAAATTTATTATCAATGTAAAACAAAGTTTTATTGAATAATCTTTTTTTTTAAACTTGATGTGTACATAATATTTGCTAAATAAATTATCAAACGCAATCATATGTCATAACATTTAACAAACACATATTACATTTTTTTATCTACATCAACGTCTCTAACATTTAAAAGATAACTACATTAACATGTTATTTTAAAGTTGATTAATCACAATCTATAGATATATTCCATTCATAACATCTATAATTTGGAAGAAATTTCTGGCTATAAATTATATATATCTATAAATTTTGTATTGTTTGTGAGAAAGATATAATATATATTATAATTATATGTAATTTTAATTATAATTATAATAAATATAATTATAATTAATAATTTTTTTATTTCACAGTTAGTTTTTTAGCCATTGCTTTCAAATCTTTTCTCGCAATTTTTCCTGAACCTGTATATGGAAAAGTGTCCAAAAATATCACGCCAGCACGAAGCTTGTATTGATCCATCATGTTATTCGCCACAAAATCTATTAATTCTTGCTTCGTCACCTACACAGATGTAATTTGATTATTGTAACATAATATATTTTTTATTTTATGAAATATCTTAGATTTTGTATTAAAAAATTATCATGAAAATAATTGTATTGTCTCGACATATATTGACTAATGTTTAAAATAATCTGCATATTAATTCGAAATTTATCAGAAAAAAGGAAACAGAAGTATTTAAGTTCTATAATCAAAAAATCGAAAAAAAATCTTGACAATGGGATTTCTATATATTAAAAATTTCATTATAAATGTTTTTAAGAAAAAGTGTTGGGACATCTAAAATTTTTTTCACTTTGTAATTTATAATCTCCCGTTTCACAAACTCTTGCTCTTGCGTGATTTCCTCATATTCGCAACAAAATTATACCTTGACGTCGGGTTTTTTAGTGATATAAGCAATAGGATGCTCATCATCTGTTTCATGAGGTACTGCTACTACTGCAGCTTCCAGCACTGCCGGATGTGATAGTAACACATCTTCAATTTCTCCGGGTGAGATTTGGCATCCTCTATACTTTATAAGCTCTTTAATCCTATCAATAATAAACAATTCCCCGTCTTCATCGAAATAACCAATGTCACCTGAATGCAGCCATCCTGAGAGAAATTTAGTTTTTACGGTATTAATACTAGATATTTTGTTAAAGACAAAAAGAAAGAAAGAGAGGGATGTTTAATAAAATTCAATATATTTGTAGTTTATTTAAATTAATTATTATAAATAACATTTGTTTCATTTAATTTAATTTTTTTGTATTATTAATGTGTTATAAAAATAAAACATTTTTTACCTTTTCCATTTTTTTACCTTCTTTATCAATTGTATTTTTTGTCGCTTCAGGATTTCTGTAATAGCCGTTCATCATAGTCGCCGTCTTTATCCACACTTCTCCCGACTGATTTGGACCAAGAACCTTTCCGTTTTCTGGATCGACGATTTTTATTTGCACATTTTGGATTACTGTCCCGCAAGATCCATTTTTGTGATTCGGAAGTTGCATTGTCGCAATTCCACCAAGTTCCGTCATTCCTATAAACGCGATAGAATTCTTTACGATAGAATTTCTATGTCGTTTATTATATATTTTGATATTATATTTATAATATTTTATTATATTAAAAAGATACTTGCCGTAACCTTGTATCATGTGGACGTGTGGTAAAATACGTTTAATATCTTCTTGCGTTTTCGGTTTCATTGCTGCACCACCGTAGACTATGACTTTCAAAGATGATAATGGATATTTGTTTACGTAACCCGCTCTGAGAAATCGACTTATCATGCTTGTGCTTAGGAAAATGAATGTTACCTAAACAGTAAGATCAAAGATGATTTATGCTTTTATATTCTAACATGCAATACACGTGAAAATAAAAAACCAGTTATATAATTTTAATAGATATTACGAAAGCATGCAAAAAAAAGATAATGTCTTCAATATCTTCCTGTGTTATTACCATAAGATCTTAACATGTAATCAATTGTGACAATACACATTTCTTGTTTGTAATCAAAAAATATAAATATCCGAATGACGAACGGATTTCAATAATAAATTAATGCCATTTTCGTAAAAGAATGATACATTTACATTTAATATTTATTGAACATTAATTTTTCAAAAGAAGTTAATACAACTTTATCACAGAATCAGTCAATAAAAACAATATTATTATTATTATTATTATTATCATAAAAATGTCTCTAGCAAAAAATCTAGGCGTGCTGATATATTTCAGTTATCTTTTTTTTTTTAAATTAGTCTGTTAAATAAAAATAAAAATTTAGAATTATTTATATCATTATGATCTCAATGAATATATAAAGAAAAGTCTTTTATATATAAGATAAAAGAAAGTAAATAAGATAAAAGTAAAATAATAATATAAAAGAAAATATTTTCTTGTCAGATACTATCGCAATCTCCTCCGCCAGCTGTTCTCTCACCTTATATTTTTTAATAAGTAAACACGTCATCTCTTCGTCGAATTCTGGGTAGATGATCACTTTGGCGCCCTGCGCGATTGCTTTGAAGTTCATCATCACTCCGCTGATCCAGTAAAGTGATGAGAACCAGATCGAAACTGCGTTAGTCAGGTCCAGATTTTTGATTTCGCTAATGAGTAACAGACAGTAATGGGACATTTCAACACCTTTCGGCATT